GCATGGATGAGCAGGATGTGTGTCTAGGTAAGGTGCCATCACATCACCCTGCTGGGAAAACCAAGCCAGGATGGAGCATCTTCCCTGGGAGGCACTGAAGGATCATGGAATCCCAGACTGGTTTGGGTTGGAAGGGACCTTAAAGCTCATCCAGTCCCACCCCAGGAACACCTTCCACTAACTTGCTCCAAGCCCCATCCAGCCTGGCCTGGAACACAATGAAGCATCCACAGTTTTTCCAGGCTTCCCACCAGGCTCTGGGAATGGCTGTGAGCTGCCTCTGCACTGTGCTGGAGCTGCTCTCCCCAGCTGTGTTCCTGGAGCTCATTGCAGGGAATGTTTTCCCTCTGGCTCAGTAAATCCCTGGCTCTCTGTGCCCTGCCAGAGCAGTTTTACTTTCAAGCAACACTTGGGGTTTGCCCTGGCTCTGCTGACGTCAGTGGCTGAATTCCCCTGGTGCTGGTGTCATCCTTCCCCAAAATTCTGGAGCTTTTTGGTCACCCAGAACAAAGATCCTCACAGGCCTTGTGTGTTTTTACTAGCAACAAGCTCCTGGCCTAGAGAAGAGTGTAAGATGCGTGGGAAGGCCAGAATTGTGCCTCCTTTTTTGTGCTGCTTGAAAAGATCCCTCAAGAAAGAAACGCTGTTCAGTAAAACTTCCATTTAGAGAGGGAAATGCTTAATATCTCAGGTTTTATTTTGAGAAAAGCTCCAGTTCAGCCCAGCACGAGAGGGGAACAAATTTATCTGGCAGGAGAGTGTTTGTTTCTCTCTGGAAAGCATTTTCCTTCGATTCACTCATCACTTGACTCCTTGAAAGCAGGCAGGGGAATGACTGAAGAGCATTCCCCTGCTATTTCCAGATGAGCTGCTCTGTATAGGATCCGTAATTAGATAAAATCCCAGGCTTTTGGAGCAAACTGCTGCAGGTTTCTCCCAGCAGCACAGGGATGGAGCAGGGAGAGGGATGGAGCAGGGAGATTTCAGCCTGGTACCTCCTGTCACTGCAGATTTGGGTCAAATGATGTTTTGAGGTTGCGTGGGGAGAGTTAAGCATCTTCCCTGCCAGGCTGAGTCACCTGGAGGGTTGGGGATAGAGCCAGTGTGGTCCCAGAGCTGCTGATATCCCTGTGCCTGTCCTTCCCCTGCTCCACTGCTGTCCCTGTGCCTGTCCTTCCCCTGTTCCTCTTGCCCTGGGCATAAAAGCACCTTAGCAGGTTATTTAAAGCCTCACATCAGGTCGCCCTGGGCACAAAAGCACCTTGGCAGGTTATTTAAAGCCTCACATCAGGTCTTTCCAGCACTCCCATGCACCAGCTGCTCATCCTTGCTCAGTGCTGGCAGAGGTGACTGGAAAATGCCTTGTGGGGGTTTTCCTTGCATGGGAAAGGTGTTCTGTGCCAGGGATACCCTTGAGCCCTGGTGCTGCCAGCGAGGACAGAGCCACTGCAGGGCAACAGCCCTCAGCTCTCTGATGGGTCTGGGTGAGTTGGTTTTCCCTGATTTCTCTTCCAAGGGGGCTGTGGTGCCATTCCCTTGGCAGAGAAGTGCTGTCCTCCCCCAGCACCCACTGCCTGCAGCTCTGCACCCTTCCCACTTGCATCCTGCCCCACGGGAGAGCAATCCAACTCCATCTCCTGGGGGAAAGCCATGCCCAGAGCATCCAGCACTCCTTGGGGACCCTGCAGACGTGGCCTCCCCCTGGCCCTGGGTCAGAGAGGAGCTGGAAACGCTGCAGCCCCATGGCCCCACATCCTGGCATCACCTCCCCCAGCTGACATGGCCCCTTCCCTTTGAAGTCACTCTGCATCCCAAGCCTCTCCTTAGGGGAACAACGCTTGGCAAGGCAGGCAGAGCCCGTGGCATGCCCGGGAAGGGGATTTATGTCTGGTGGCTCCCTGCCAGGCTCTCTGTGGCTCCGGGGCTGTGCTGCTGCCTCCTGACCTCTGAGCCTCCCTGCAACCTGCGCCGGGCACGAGGCTCCCGCAGTGACGCAGCTCCGTGGGAAAGGACGTCAGGGCTGGGGGAGAGGGGCTGAACCCAGGGGGCTCAGCCTCGGGGCCTGGCAGGGTCAGCACTGCCCTGGCAGCCAGCATCCCTCGGGGGAGGGGGGTGTTACAGCCCCGGTTTTGGGGGGATGATGTTTGTGACTCGTGGGGTGTCCTCGCCCCCTCCAGCACTGGTGTGTCCCAGCCAAGGGTGACAGCAGTGTCCTAAACAAACCCTGTGCTCAGTGGGAGAGCTCTGGGGTGGTTGTGTGGCTGGGGGTGTCGGGGCAGGGGCAAGTGTGGCGTCAGGTTTCTTCCAGGAACATTTTTATTGCCTTCGCAGTCATTTCCCACTGAGATTTCCTGAGGTCGAGCACTGGGCTGGGAGTCCCAGGGCTGAGCCAGCACCCATGGACCCAGGCTGGGCACTGCCTGGGTGGAAGGCACAGGGACCTGGGAGCCAGGGATGCACCTGGAATCCCCTGCAGCCCTGAGGGTTTGGAGCAGCATCTCCCTTGCAAAACACAGGGCAGGGCTGGGATTGCAATAACTGCCATGAGTTTAGCTGTTCCCTGCTCTGGGCTTTGCTCCTTCACTGGTTTGACAGAGCTGGGGGTTCCTCCTCGCTGTGCTCAGAGCTGTTGTAGGGTCTGTTGGCTCTGCAGTTGGTGTCTCCATGTCCCAGGTCTGTGACTGAGTGTCCTTTACCATTCCCACCCCCAGGCCTTTGGGGGAAACCCCATTATTCCTCTGCAGTGTGGAGCTCAGGGACAACTCCTTGGCACCTAGACCTGTGCCACCTCCACCACCAGCTCTCCCAGCTGGCACCAGCAGTATTTGTGCCCTGTAGTGATGATCAGGTGCTGACAGGGGGCAATGAACCACAAGGAATGTGGGTTCACTGCTCCCAGCTATTCACAGCTGCCCTTGCCAGCTGTGCCCCCCAGGATCGTGGGGGTCCCAGCCATGCCACCCTCCCCAGGGACTGTCACAGCCACCTGCCCACTGTGTCCATGGGATTCCCAGCCCTCCCCCCGGCAGGGGAGGAGAATCCCACAGGGATGCAGGAGCCCAGGCTATAAAAGCATCCTCCCCTTGGAGGGAACAGCTCTGCTGGCACAGGAGAGGCTGCCCCGGAGGACACGATGCTGGTGGGACACAGCAGGAGGGTGCAGCAGTACCTGGTGGTGTTGGCTGTGACCTGGAGTGCCACCCTTGTCCCCTCTCCAGCCCAGGCTTTGCAGAGGTACCAGACATGCATGTGGCTCACACTGTGCTGGATCCCCTTTATTATTTTTTTTCTGGGGGCTGAGGGATTCTCCTGCTTCTTCCTCTTTTGCTCACTCCTTCTCCTCTCTCCCCTTGAGCACTGCATGGTTAACGCTTGGACTCACTGATCCTGGAGGTCTTTTCCAGCCTAAATAATTCTCTGGCTCAGGAGCACCCCAAATAACCAAGGATGCCTGGATGAAGCATTTCTCTCCGAGCACAGAGCCGGGCTCGTGGCTCCCCGGGCTCGGTGTGTGCCTCCTGCAGCACCTGCCCCCTTTGGGGTCCCTGCCCCGGGTGGGCTGGGGGCGCATCCCCCCTGCGGGTGCGGTGGGAGCAGGACCCACAGGGTGCTGCGGGAAGCTGCTGCCATCTAGAGCCACCCGGCTGGAGTTCCTCGGGCTGGAATGCCGGGGAGGGGGGGAAAGGGAGCTGGGGGTGCTCCCCGTGCCCCCCAGCCCTGCCCTGGCCCCGCAGGATCGCGCTGCGGAGGATG